TTATAGAATTAACCAATTTGGAGTACGATTCGAGATTTTTTCCTAAATCTCAAAAATCTTGTGTTAAAGTTGAGACACCTATAATGGAAGAAGAAATTGACAAGGATGAATTTGTGCATAACGATGTCTCAAACACAATAGACATGAAGCCAACCGTCATGTTTAACAAAGATGACTTCTCGAGGCCTGAGGAAATTTGTAACTCCAATGATCAAATTGTGCTACAAGACATGGATTTCAGGTCTTCTGAAAACCTGAATGAAGATGTTAGTACGCGTCTAGAATACATGGAGCATTTTCTAATGGAAGATAATTGTTCAATGGAAGCGACAAATATATCAGACATATTTTCTATGACAGAGAACCATGATGAAGCTTTCGATTTTCAGAGGTTTTTAGAAGAATCATTTGATTTCAAGCCAATGGTAGTACCTCAAGAGTCTGCTGAGCTAAACTATGCGAAGAATCAGGAGCAATTTGAATGTAAATATGCATACAACCAGCAAATTGACCTCCAGAACTCAGAGACAAATTCCGAGATTCGATTAGATAGAATAATAAGCAACCAGGCTGATTCGAAGGAACAAAACTTGCGTGCTTTCGGATTAGATGACTTTGGAGCAAGCAATAGTTGGCAACCAGAGGATAATATCGAAGATTTCTCTATGCTCAACTTTGATTTTGATATATCATCCTATATTAATGATATTAGTTAGGAAAATATAATGTTTTAATTCATTATACTTGTGATACTTTTGTAACTATAGTCTGCTAGAAACATAAATTAGAAAGATTATAATGGTCTTGGTATGAACTCGAAAAACAAGTTGTTTTCTAAATTATTTTCTCATGTTTGATTGGTGAGTGGAAAATTTCTAATATTTGGTTGATGAATGAAAAAAAAAATATTTTTGGCTAGACAGTGGAAAATAACTTTTAGGAAAATAGTTTCTGACCCGCAAACCAACTTCGATAATCAATTCAGGACCCGTTATTGACACTCAAATTGGGACACAATCTTGATGACCGTTTTGGGATCCGACCCCGATGCCCAATTCGAGACCTGACCTCGATTCTCAAGCTGGGACCCGATATTCGAACAATTCGGGACCTGACCTTGTTCTCAACCTGGGTCCCGATATTCAAATAGGGACTTTACTCTAAGCCCGACATCTAAAGAGAAACAAGGACTTTACTTTGAGCCCGACATCCAAATAGGGACACGACCCCAACGACTGATTTGGGATCCGACCCAGATCCTGACCCTAAATTCTGCTTGAGACCTAAGATTCGAATGGACTCGACTCCGAGCGCGACATCCGAACCTGAATACGACCTCGATAATTGAACTGGAATTCGACCTCAACTCTCTACCCAACACCCGACTTTTGAATTAGGACTCGACCCAGACTCTCAACTCGGGAACCAACCCTAACACTCAACCTCGGACTCGACTCTGACACTCGACTCAAGTATTGACTTTTGAATCAAAATACAACCCCAACGATCGATCCAAGATCCAACCCAGCCCGACTCTTGAATTAATACCTGACTTTTGAATCGGGACCCGACCTGGGATCGTACCCTGACACCTGACCTCGACAAGTGATTCAGGACCCTACTTCGACTCTTAACTCGGGTCTCGACTTTCAAATCAGAATCCAACTACGACGATCGACCCCGACTCCGACGCTCGAATCTAGACATGACCTCAATGACCAATTGGGAACCAACCCCAACACTCAATTCAAAAACTAAGTTTCGACTCCCTAACCTAAGAATCGATACTTAAATCGAGACTCGACATCTGAATCGGGACCCGACTTCCTAACGAAGACTCGATCTCGACACTCGGTGTGGGACTTAACTTTCAAAGAGAGACCCAACCTTGACTCGAGATCCGACCCTAATTTTCGACTCTCGATTCGAGACTTAACCCTAACGACTAATCCAACACCCGACCCTGAGACCTGACTTTTGAATTGAGACCCAACCCCGACCTAAACCGGATTTTCGAATCAGGAGCTAACCCTAACACTTGATGCAAGACCTAATGAGTCCACAATTTGGACTCATTTAATGCTATATTTTGATAGAATTAGTATCCTCAAATGCATATTTTGACTCAATATCTGAAGAAAATCCTTAAGTTTCGGGTATTTAGAATTTGAGGCAAAGCATGGACACTACTTGGTAAGAAGGAACAAGGCGGCTGAAAAGAACAAAGAAATGAAGGCCTAAAGATCGCCGAGCCCAGTTGGTGAGTCGCCGATGGGCCTGGATATTGCCTTTTGTTCCAGTGTGCTGAGCCCTAAAGGAGAAGGTCAAGTCCACGATGATAAGGAGCAGTCGGCGCATTATCGAGCAGTTCCGCGAAACAGTACTATATCGCCCAACGACTCAAAACGCGAAGAGGCTGAAGGATAAAGCAGGAAGGCGATGAAATCGACCAAAAGGCGGATCGCCGAGTGTATCGGCGATCCCGACTAACTGCGGCGAATGATCCTCCGCAGTACAAATTTTCAAGCACTATAAATACTTGTTTTAAATTCCTAGAACATCATGACTTCTATTATTAGAACTTATTACAGTTTTTGAGAGAATCTAAGTTTTAGAGGGTTTTGGAGACTTTGTTCTAAGACCTTGAAGATTCAAAGGGTTTCAACTCCAAGAAATTAAACTTGGGTCTTGAAGATTCTTCACTCTTGACGTGTTTTAA